CTTTTTTTTTTTTGTTGCTGGACCAACATATGTATGATGAAGGAAAACTGACTTTAGTTAGGAACTAACTTTTCTTCATTTAAAGGTGCACACTTTGTATATAGCTGCTCAGAATAGCGTAGCTATAATAGCTGTTGCCATTAATGTGCATGGCAAAGTGATTCTCGAGAGGGTTTAGTCCGTGCCAGCAGGAAGTGTGAGTCTAATTGCAAGAGGAAGTATGACTAATTGGTCAAGAGAACAACCTCAAGTACTTCTGTAGCAAGTGCCTGCTGGGAGAAGAAACTTCATGGAGGCTTTTGCAACATTAGGTGAGAGTTGTTGTAGATGAGGCTGACAATTGCTAGATAGTCCGTTAACGTACTGTCACCCTGGGAAAGGTAGTGGGGAATAAGGCATTGCAGAACTGAGTCTAAAAGTTTGTCTCTGACCAAAAACTGTTGTTTTGGTTTGGTTTTCCCTATAAGCTACCTCTTTTGACTTCTGTAACTCATCATAGCGGGGGGAACTTTTTCAGAAGAAGGGAATGATGAAGATTGGAAAGTATTGGCTAAATGGTCGTGTCTGTCAGTCCACCACCACTGTAGTAGAACAGGGCTGATTTCTGTTTTCTCTTTGAACCAAGGAAGACAAACTGTTTTCTGAAATTGGATAAAGAACTGCAATTGTCCAGCCTATTTTCAGAGCTGAGGGAGGAGTAACCCCCCTCCCCCCCAAAGTCTTCTAAAAAAGCTGCTGTTTCCACTGTTTGAAGTGGTTAGCTTATCACCTGTTTTTCCCTTAAGATGCGTACTGAAATACTGCTGTGATGATGAAGACTGACAGCTTGCCTTCCTACAGCTGGAGAAGGTCTTTATTTGTTCCTTGTTCTGCCTTAAAGGGTTTTGTGGTGAGGATTAGACTCAGAAGGAAGCATAGTCTACTCGGTGGATAGGTATCGGCTGAGAACAACTATTGAAGTGCTTGAGCTGGAGATGATCCATTCAGGAGCATTCTTTGACTGTCATACTGTTGTATTTTTAGGAATATCTCCTAATAGTGGTGTAACTGAACAGGAAATGGGAACCAATTATTTTATGCAAGGAAGTCTCAGAATGACTCTCAGCAGGGTAGATACCCAATGTCTGAGCTGAGCGGTTGTGATGCCTGCTTGTTCGACATCCTCAGGTGACACGCTTCGCTAAACCTGATGCCGTATGCCTAGTGTGAGGCTGCAGCTTTAGCTTTACTCCCACAGTAGGACACGTTATTAAAGTGAATGTGGGAATATTACTTCCAAAAATGTTTCTTTTTTGTAATACTGCCCATGCTACATTGAGAGGAGAACCAGAAGGAGCACCTGACAATTTTTGTGATGGTTACACAGCTCAGCAGTGCCCTGTGAAACTCTGGTATAGGGACTAGGGAAGCTTATCCAATGTCCATGTAAAAAATGATGATGGTGATGGATGGGAAATGTAAGCTTCTCGAGGAGAAAATACTTAAACTGCTTCCCTGTCCTTTATTCTTGAGTAAAAGTAAATGGGGGTTGGTTGTGCCTATTGGAATATTAGCTTGTGATGAAAGTGTTCCGCTTTGAAATCAGACCTTTGGAAAATGGAGAACTTTCTGTTCTGCATCAGTGTGGCTGGTTCTTAGGATCTCAAGGTAAAGCCTTCTTTTTTCTGGGGAGTAAAAATGTCTGGTTGGAGGGATAAAACTGCCCTCTTGGATGAGAACTGGTTTTGCTTTGAGATCAACTACCACTTTATATAGCTTCCAAAGTGACGGTGTTCCCATCGTTCTGGTCCCAGCCCTGGTTGTCCTGATAAGGTGTGCTGGGATTTCTCTGTGGGGCACATCCTTCAGGGCATGAAGAAGCTATGAGCGGAGAAGTACGCGTTTTCCTTACCTGTATGGTTTTCTTCTGATTGGCAGCATTGGCAAAATACTGATGGTTTGGTCTGAGGCTGCGATTTTTCTCAGTCATGAAGCTCAGATCCCAGGAAAGCAAATTTGAAAGCTCTCTTAGGAAGTGGGTCTGATAACTACTGAGATGACACCTAAACCAAAACCACGGTGGGTGTAGAAGGCTGCTTAAGAAGGTCATTGTACAGGTGCTGTAGGGAAAAATCTTTTGTGTAATTTAGAAATGGCTGAAGTGGTAAGGAGACATAACTATCAACATTATTTTTTTTTAAAATAATGTCAAGAAGTGGGTATTTTCATGTGTGCAGAATAGATGCTTAATAAATCAGGAGTACTATGGCCCCTCGTAGCTTATGGCTGTTGTACAGTGAAGCAGGTATTAGAACTAACAGTTTATAGAAATACTGTGTTCTAGGTTTTGTGACCAAAATGCTCATAGACTCGTGTATGAAAACCCTTTGTTTATCTCCAGTTTATTGCAATTTCATGTTTAGTTTTAATATGAACGTTTACTTACTGATGCTGTTGCAAGTATGTAGTATGGGTTATTATAAACTATGTAACGCGTTTTCTAGGAAATTAAATTGTTTTTCATCTTTATCCCTTTTGCTTGAACATATTAGCTATAAGAGCTTTAAAACTCTTCCCTTAATTGAGGTTTAAGTTAATTTAAGATTATAATAAAAACATTCTTTGGTTATATGTTCTCAAAGCAAGTGTTTACTTCAGACTTGTAATTCAGCAGAGAAGTCCTTCATTTAACAGTGTGGGCTACTGGGCCTATATTGATTAAACTTCCCACTTTTGGCTTTTGTGAAGACATTTCAGGAGGGCATTTTGTAATAGAAGCTAGTGTCAGTCTTGAGTACAGTGATAGTAGCAAACAAAATTAGAATCTTTTGACTTAAACTGCTGTCGAAATGTAATTCCTGTATTGGTGCTCAAAAATTAGAGTATGTTCAAGGCGCTTCCTGCTTAACGTCTGACACTCTCCACCCCAAAAATAAGCAGCAGCTTGAAATTCTCTTTTACATGACCCTGAGGGTGTCTGAGGTCTTCATTTTTAAGATAGGGAAAAATCTGCGTTCTTTGCCTCATTGCGTGAGATGGATATTTGGAGCTATGTACTAAAGTAACTGGAAAACCAGCTTCCTGCTTGTTCCATGCTGGGGACCGGTGGGTGATTAATTGCCCGGCGTTAGATAATGTCTGCAAACAGCTTCCTCTTGAATGCTCCGCAGGACGAGTACGAGAGATGTGGACACGTGTCTAGGGAAAAAGAGGAACACATATAGAGCCTGTCTTTGGGAATGGTTTGGAAGTGAGTTATGTTTTTGCTAGTCCCTGAGGTGCCCAGGATGGTCCACAATGAAGAAATCGCCAAGGGTCGTCAGGAGTTACTATACTAAAAACCTGCTGGCTGGGTTTCTGTGCAGCACTCCCCTGGTTTCTAGGTGCAACCAGCTTAGATGCTTTACTTTGTGTACTGCTCTCCAGTGTAGCTGCTGCAGAGGTAGCATGATGGTTTACTCCAGGTGCTTTAGCTACCTCTTCGTTGGTGGTTTATCTGCCTTCAGTTCTATTCTGAGATAATGGGCAGGAGCTCTGTTAGGGATGCTAATAAATGGTCTTGATGGTTTTTGACATTTGTTTTCCCTCTGTTTAGGGAGTGACAATTCCCAGTCAGAGACGCTACGTGTACTACTATAGCTACCTGTTAAAGAATCACCTGGATTACAGACCAGTGGCACTGTTGTTTCACAAGATGATGTTTGAAACAATTCCCATGTTCAGCAGCGGAACTTGCAGTAAGTACTCAGCACCAGTTAACCTCCGTTAGCTCTTGTAAGGAAATGCATCTACCGTTGAACTTGGTTTGATAATGTGATGGGTTACCATTCTGTTATGTGACACAGAGCTGCATGTCTTGATGGAGGAGATGATCATACTTAAACACTTTGTGTTCCAAAACGTGCTGGGTTAGCGTGATCTATCTGCTAGCATCCTCCCAGGTGTAGTAAGCTGAGGTCTGTGAAGGACTCAGACGGTTGTTTCACTACAGTTTTAAATTGGGAAATATTTAACAGTTTGAAGATAAGTGATGCCAGAGATAGATGTAGGTAGATATATATATTATTTTATGTATATATCTATATATTTATATATATATTTGCTCCTTAGTTTTAGAAAAAGCCTTTTTTTTTCTTAATGTAGCAACTCTTGGGAAACATGAATTGCTGAAAAACATTTGCCTAATGGCGTGTTGGCTTCTAATGCAGCAACGTCATTCTTCCCATGATGTTTAAAAAAGAAAAATCAGTTCAACTGCATAAATATCTAATTAACTCTGGAATAAACTTTTCTTTATATGGAGGCTTATCAAGTATTAATACGCCTGTAAACGATTAATCTGGTTTGTTGATATACAATGTGTTAGTAAGGAACAGCAGATTCCTTGAAACTTTAAAAGTATAAATATGAATTCACTTTTGTCCTTCTGTGGGCTGCTTTATAGGGCAGTAACTGCCTAGTGTTGCGTGTTCATTTTTTGTTAGTGGAAAAAGTCTTTCTAATGGTTTTGCTATGGGGATTACTGCAATATGTAATTAATTCCAGTGCCTCCTGTGGCTTTGATTAAACTGCACTATTAATATTGTTGTAAGACAGTACCTGAACATGTAACGCACATAAGAAACAAATCAAGCAACTTGTCAGGCTAGCTGTACTTATAGGAGGAGGAGGAAGGGAGGAGTCTGTGCCGAAAAAGCCTCTGTCTTTAGGGTAGAGGTGTGGAGGTTACAGATTTCTGCAATTACCACTTATTTAATGTTTTGGATAAACTGTACTGTACTTGCGAAATCAAGCTACAAGTATGACTTGCTCGCGTGAGCATTAACTTGTTTGTCCGTACCAGACTGTTAGCATGCTATTTTCACAGTAGGGTGTTGGGATAAACAAAAGATTTGCTAAGCACCGGGGTAGATAAAGTAACTATCGACTTCAGCATCTTTGTGCACTGCAATATTTTACGTTTCTGTGGAGTTTTCAGTGATTTTTCAGAAGGTGAAACCAATGGTCTGTGTTATTTCTTTAGTTGTGTTATCTACTGCGATGGTAGTAGATTTAAAATTATCATGTGTTGGTAAAATTGACTTCTTTCTTATCTTCCTTCTGTTTTAAAGTCACTGACCGAGCAGTGTCATGCCTCTCGGGCAAAACGAAGGGATGACAGAGTTTCAAGGCTCTGAGGATTTAAGGGAGAGAAGTAGAAGTTTTATAGCTAGGCTGTTCAGCAAGATAGTGTGGGTATGCTTGGTAGAGACTTCCACAGCTCTGCAGGGTTGGTTTCGGGGTGGCTACGTACTCTGTGGCAGGGTATGGTTCAGTGTATATTGTCTAGAGAGCAGCCTGCATCTAATAGTAACAGAGAAGCCAGGAACAAATGCAGAAAGACTTCTTCAAATAAGTTTCATTTAATGTTTCTGGCTTTCATACTAGTATCTGGCAGTTTCCAAAGAAAGTTTGCTTAGGCTGCTGCACTAAAAAACCCCTCGTAGTTTCAGCTGTTACCCCTGCAGATTTAATTTGGAAAGTTATGCCGTGGGTGGCACTTTTTTGGTGATGGTGATTTACAGGACAGACTCATGGTCTGTGTCTGTCAGTATAGTCTGTTGGTGCTGGTTGGTTTGTGTATTAATGTTAAATTTTGTCCTTGTTTTTGTTTGTATTAACAGTTCTGTTTGTGTAAGAGTAGAAATCGGCTTGTGCTGACATGACTGCCCACTCTGCAATTCAAAGAAAAGATGAGAGAGAATAAAAGCCCTCAGTTATGCCCATATAACATGGAGATGAGAGGCACTATGCAAGGAAAAGTCAAGCAGTTGTCACTTCATACAGTAATTTCTTAGTATATTAAAAAGAAACGGTGCCTTTCTAGGAACCCTATGGGTGCCTGAGAGTACTGCTACAAAGAACAGAAATCTGTTAGGTTGCTTCCAGTAACACCTAGGAAAGTTTGATGTGCTGTGATGCTTAACTCTTAATAGGTATTTATTTAACTTTCAGAATATCGTAGCTCACGATTGTGATTCCGATACTAATATTGTGCTTTTTGACACTTCAAGGTGTTTCTTGTGAAGTGACACTCTGTTTTGCTATGCAGATCCTCAGTTTGTGGTGTACCAGCTAAAGGTAAAGATATTCACCTCCCCTTCAGGACCCTCAAGACGTGAAGACAAGTATATGTACTTTGAATTCCCTCAACCTTTGCCGGTATGCGGTGATATCAAAGTGGAATTTTTCCACAAACAGAACAAGATGTTGAAAAAGGTTGGTTTTCTTTTCTGGAAAATATTGAGCCAATCCTGATACAGGACTGGGATGTTGGTTATTCTTCAGGGATGTGTAATCACAGTATTTAATTCTTTGTCTAGTTTTCCCAAGGAGAGCATCTACCACAAAATGAAAGCTGGATATTTTGAGAGCTGGTGAGATTAAGTACAAAGGTTGGATAAAAATTATACTGGATGCATATTGCAGTCTTTTGGGTAGTAGTGAGTAATCTAATTGAGGAAGAAACATTCTCATTCTAAAAATAGACTTGCATACTGAACAAGTTAACTCCAGCTGTTTTCTTCACTAAATTTTCTTAAAGTTTGAGCAGGCACAGAAGATCTGTTTATGTGGTGTTGGCCGATTTCTACCCATCTACCAAATTTGGTTGAATTTCTGAGATAATTGAGTTCCTATGCACTTTGTAGGAGTATCTCTGCAATCTATTCAGCCATCTCTCGGTTCCCAGCTGCAATGCCTTGACGTTAGACGTTTAGAGACTTCACTCAGAATTGAGAATTTTATCAGTGTCTCAGTTGTGGAAAAAAATCAATCTAGAACTTATGTTGGCACCAAAGTCAGCGGGTTCTTAAAAATGAATGCCTCATCACTGGGTTTCATTAATTCTGGTGCCTGTGGAGCTGGTTTGCATCTACTGGAGCAAAAGGTGAGGATGAGACCATGTTGGTTAAAGGCTACTGCTAAAATTCTTTATGAATAGCTGTTTGCTATTTAATGGATGTTATAAAACTTAATGCATTCATTGAGCGAATCCTGTGTACAGGCAAAGCATAAAAATCAGAAAATACTAGAGCGGACTGGGAGACAAACATAAATGATGAGATAATACAGTCTCTTATAACTGTGCGCACAGGCTGTACCTACTAGATGTGTGTGTAAATACACATGTACGCTATTTTGTGGGCTTGTTCAGTTACAAGGTATCGTTAACTAGTTTAATGGTGTGATTTCACTAGCTGGAAATGTCGTGTTCTGTTGTTTGCTGTGTGCTGATGTCTGCAAAAGTTTTTAAACGGTTTCTTAATGGGAATATTTTTATCTTCTGCCTGTTTAATGGAATGCTTTAGTTGGTTGAGGCGGCTAGATACAATAAAGAGAACTGTAAAACAAAACATTTTAGAAGTAGAAATTCTACTTTAAGTCAACATTAAAATTATTGACGCTTAAAACTGCAATGCACAGGAGCCAATTTTGAGAATGGACTTTTAAAGGAGGAGCCAGATAAGTACTGTGGGCTAGACATGAGGGATGAAGGGTGGAGATGAAACAAAACTGAGGCAAGGTGCTATTTTATCCAGTCTCTGTCCTGTCTTAACTGTGAATTTGTCGTTTCTTTACCATCTTCAGTAACACATGGATTGCAGACTTTGTAGGAAGCGTTGTGCTGCATTGCCCCTCCCCGAATACGTCCTCAGAATACCAGTGCACAGCTCAGATGCTGGATGTTGGCTCTGTAGCGCTGGGAACAAACGCCTGTATTTGTTTTACCTTCATAGAGAGCAATGAACTGCGGTGACAGCATAAACTAGAGCTCCCTGTTACCACATACAATTTCTGTAGTATGAATTTGATCTTCAAGAGTGTGTAAAAATTGTCTGCAGAAATGCAGCAAGCATGTTACTATGCTGTAGTTTCATTTCAGAGCGTCTTATCAGCCATGGTTTCATTTCTTCAGAATGTCTTTGTAGTTTGAGTAGCTGGTTGATCCCCCCCGCCCCCTTTGTGTATTCTTATCAAGTACCCTAACTATTCAGGTTCTGTAGATTACAGATAGTGCAGACGTGCTCCTTTTCTCAGTGTTTTTGGACTGCTAGGGTCACGAAATGCTGAGATGGTGAAAGCTCTTCTTTCCACGTCTGCAAGCATTTCTGAGAGATAGAAACTGTCCTTTCACCAGACAGAAGTCTTCTGTAAAGAAACTACCTTGATAATCTGCCTCAAAGATCTGTTGAATCTTGTGTCCAATTCCCCTCGACCTTGTGTAAGAATGGAGGCAAAAAAGAAGTAGGTATATGGCGTTACACAGTTCTGGTAACACCACCTCTGTTAGCTCTACTGTAAATGCAGGCATGAATTGAGGGCATCTGGGACTGGGTCCGTGGATTGTCTTGGATGTAGGCATGTTGGTCTGTTTTATGAAACCACTGCTTAGGTCTTCATACTGAGAATTAGTGAAATATTCCATCTCTGTGTGCTTTGGCACTAGAGAAGATCCTTCTACATGGTCCTTCACATAAAGTGACTAAGATGGGAACGGGACAAAGGTGAATACTTTGTGGCAGAAAACCTACCTTGGCACAAAGTGGAACACGTTTCTCTGTACAAGTATTTCACATCTGTGCCTGTTCCTTTGCTGGACAAACTGACTCTACGCAGTTCTTACTCAAAACCCCAAAACAGAGGGCCTTCCACTGTGGAGACTTGTCGCGTTTTGAAGATCACCTCTATGCAGTGATCACATAATGAATGAGGAACAGCATAATTAGGAGTAACAGGATCTTATCTTTCAGAGATTCTGGTTTATTCACGTGTATTTATGACAGCTGGAATTACAGGTCTGTTGCCTGTCACTGGTTCTTGCTCTTCCAAGGTTTTCTGTTAGCAGATTTATAGGTAGATGCTAAACAAGTTTTCTTGCACACACTTAAAGGCATCACATATCTAACAGTCCACATTTTGACTTTCCATAAGAAACCTAATTAAAAAAACTAATAACATTAGTTAAAACTGTAGTTTTTGATCCATTCTGGGCCTCTGGCTGGAGAATGGCTATGTCTCATCTCTGGAGATAAATGAAACTTCTGTGTCCTCCTGCTGGGTCTGGTTTGGTGTTTGAGCGACTGATCTCAGCTGAAGTGTTTCAGATTTGCTCACCCGTAATTGCTTTCAGATTTCTTAATCCTCTGAGGAACAGTAGCATTATCTGCAGAGCTCTCTAGTATGGAGGGACCTCCTCAACTTTGGTAAAGCTGCTCTTGGATAAAATTATTGTGCATGAAAGAAAACAAACTTGAATGACCAAGTGACTTGAAGCACCTAGTGTTGCAGAGTCAATGTGAAATTTAAAGGAGTCAAGTGTCCTGTTTTTTTTAGATGGCAAAATGTAATTTAAGGAAATTCAGTGGCTAGCAAGAGCTGACCTCAGCCAAAGGTTTATTGATGCTGGTGAGAAGATGTTGGTCAGGGGGTGACTACTTTGAAAGTTACCCTGTTTCAGCTCTTCCATAGTCTGTGCCACCTGGCATCAGTTAGTAAGTCCAGAACTTTTTGTCTTGTCTAATAAAGTTACTTGCTTTATTCTTGGACCATTTCTTCAGTATGATCTGGCTACTTCATTTCAAGAATGAAATGCATGCTCATATGAGATCAAAATGACTTGAGGCTCAAGTACAGTTATGTATGAATTTCTGATGGACAGAAGTTAGTAATTGGGGGGGAGGGTGTTTGAGCATGGTTTTTTGTTTCTCTGACTTGTTTCTCTGGCTTGGCTATTCTTCTGTCTCAGACTGCTGCTGTAGTCAGTCTAGGTTTGCTTCCCTGTGTCTGTGAAGCCTTTTTCTTCCAGTTATTGATGTTGACATGATAATCTTAAAGTATTTCAGAGTATCCTTATATCACTTGGTTCAATGAGAGTCTGTTTAAAAATTACACAGAAGATCTTGTAATCTTCCTGCCTGAAGAGCCTGGGGGTAAAGGAGACCTTTTTCAGGAGTCCTCCAAGTGTAGACGAGAGAGAAACATTGGTATGGGCTATTTTTGTAAGAGTCACTGCTGTTTTATACCCAGACTCTAGCGTGGGCGGGGCTGACAGCATTGTTTGAGCTGTTGTGTATGCCATTTCATCTCTTGAGTCTGTACAGATGAGAAGTTCTGCTACACAGTTCAAGAGGACTTTCATAGAATCATAGAATGGTTTTGGTT